AGAGCGAATAGAAGAGATAGAGAGGGGGAGGGAGATAGAGAGAGAGAGAGGGGGGGGAGTAGAGAAAGATAGGAATTGGGGAGAGATAGGGAGGGAGAGAGCGAATAGAAGAGATAGAGAGGGGGAGGAGTAGAGAAAGAGAGTTAATAGGGAGAGCTGGGAGGAAGAGAGTGAGACGAGAGAGCAAAGAGAAGAGATAGAGGGAGAGAGAGAGAGAGAGGAGGTGTAGAGAAAGAGAAGGAATAGGGGAGAGCTGGGAGAAGAGAGTGAGAGGGGGGAGCAAAGAGAAGTAGGAGGAAGAGTGAGACAGAGGAGGAGAGAGGGTGGAAAAGAGAAAGAGAAGGAATAGGGGGGATGATGAGAGAGCGAAAGAGAGAAGAGAGAGAGGAGGGGGAGGAGGGGACGTGAGACAGAAGAAGAGAGAGGTTGGAGTAGAGAAAGAGAGGAAATAGGGGAGAGATGGGGAGAAAGAGAGAGAGGAGGAGAGAGCCCAGAAAAGAGAGAGGGGGGGAGGACCGGGAGTGAGACAGAAGAAGAAAGAGGGGGAAGAGAGAGAATTGAGGAGAGATGGGGAGGAAGAGAGTGAGAGGAGAGATCGTAGAGATGAGAGAGAGGCGGAGAGAGGGACAAGAAGAGATGGAGGGGGAGAGAGCGAGGATGAGAGAGAGGGAAGAGAGAAGAGGAAGAGGGAGAGAAGGAGAAGAGAAAACTTATGAGAGGGAAGGCGAAAATAGGAGAGAAGAATGATAGGGGAATATTAAAAAATTGAAAACAGAGACAGAGACACAGAAAAGAGAGAAAGGACGAAAGAGAAGGGGCCAGACAGACAGAGGAAGACAGAAAGAGAGGGGGCAGCCAGACACAGACAGGCAGACAGACGAACAAAGAGACACACAGAGACAGACAGATGCAATCTTTAATCCTATTTTCCTTTTCCTTTTTCCTATATTTCATTCATTCTTCTTCACTACCTTAACCCTATTCTTATCATTATCATCGTTTTCACCCTCCTCTCTTTATTCCTTACTGTCTTTCTTCCAGAATCAACCTTTTTTTATTCTCTTTTTTCCCTCGTCTTTATTCCCCTCATCCCTATACTCCCGTCCTTCCTGTACTCCTTTATTTATCATCCTCTCCCCTATTCTTCCTCATCATCACCCTTCTCACTTCTTTTTATCACCCTCACCTATTTTCTTCCCCATCACCATCCTTCCCATTCTTCTTTCTTTATCACTCGTACCTCTATACTTCCCCATCCCTCCCATCCTTTTTATAATACCCTCTCCCCTATTTCCCCATCCTTCCCATCCTCCTTTCTTTATCCCCCTCCACCCCCATTTTCCCCATCCTCCCTATACTTCTTTATCTATCTATCACCTCACCCCCATCCTTTCCCATCCTCCTTTATTTACCCCCCTCACCCCATTCTTCCACTATACTTTCCTACCCTTCCCATCCTCCTTTCTTTATCACCTTCACCCCCATCCTTCTTTCTTTGCCCCCCTCACTCCCATCCTTCCCCACCCTTCCCATCCTCCTTTCTTTACCCCCTCACCCCCTCCTTCCCATCCTCCTCCTCCTTTTTTTTACCCCCTCACCCCATCCTTCCCACCCTTCCATCCTCCTTTCTTTATCCCCTCACCCCCATCCTTCCCCTATACTTCCCCACCCTTCCCATCCCCTTTCTCATCCTTACCCCCTTACCCCTATCCTTCCCTCACCCCACCCTTCCCCCACCCTTCCCATCCCCCTTTCTTTATCCCTCACCCCCATCCTTACCCCCCCTCACCCCCATCCTTCCCCATCATCCCCAAGCCTTACCAACAGTCAGGTGGTCCCCGGGATAGATCTTCACCGGCTCACTCAAAATCCTCGCCTGCTGGAAGTTGGCGTCGAAGTTCTTGTCCTCTCCGAGTGGTGGGAGTTCGCGGCCGTTTCGGAAGTGTCTCAGTTTGATGCTTCGAGCTGTTGGGGAGGAGGGAGAGGGGGGGATGGGGGAGGGATGGGGGGAAAGAGGTGAGGAGGAGGGGGAGGGAATGGGGGGAGGGCGGGAAGGGAGGGATGGGGAAAGGGAGGGGAGGGAAGGTGGGGAAAAGGAGGGGGGAGAGGATGGGGGAAAGGGGAGGTAGGGGAAGGTGGGGAAAAGGGCGGGGAGGGATGGGGGAGAGGGAGGGGAGGGATGGAAGGTGGGGAAAAGGGGGCGAGGGAGGGATGGGGGAGAGGGAGGGGAGGAGGGATAGGGGAAAGGGGAGTGGGATGGGAAGGTGGGGAAAAGGGGGCGGGGAGGGATGGGGAGAGGGAGGGAGGGATGGGAAGGTGGGATGGGGGAAAAGGGGGCGGGGGGGGTGGGGAGAGAGAAATAGGAAGGGAGTGGTTAGAATTGAGGGGTAATTGTGATGGTGGAGCTGAGCTGAAGGGACACCAAAGGAAAATATTTATAAGCGGTGGTGATAGTGATGAAGGTGTGATTTGAAGGGAGACCGCGTGAAATTCTTTTAAAAATGGTGAAAAAGGTGATGAGGATGGCGGTGATGGCCTCAAAGTGATAGAAGACCGAAGAAAATTCTTTGAAAATGATGGAACGAGTGGTGATGGTGTTAATAGTGACGAGCCGATGGGAGGCCCAAGGGAATTCCAGAAAGATGATGGTGATTGTGATGATAATGGTGCCAAATAACGATGCTAGCTGATGTGCCACTGATTTTTATCTTTAATACCAATCATCACAATCATCATTTTCCCCAAATTACAATAATAACAACTATTATAACGATAACGATGATGAAATATGACAAGACCAAAAAAAAAAGAATCAGAACGAAAACAAGAAAAAAAAACCTTCCTATCACCTGTGTAATGACCGTGAAGGAAAATCATGAAAACATTAACTCCATCTTCGGGAATGTTGCCCCGAGTGCAGTCGGACGAACAGTGACCTGCCGTGACCCAGTCTGACCTTCTGGGCGGTACCGTGAGGGAGAAGACGATGGAGTGACCCACGGCGAGGTTCCCGGCGTCCTTTTCCCTGTGGTTGGACAAGGTCGTGAGGTCAGAGAGGGAGGTCAAGTAGGGTATGAGGTCAGAGAGGAGGTCAAGTAGGGTATGAGGTCAGAGAGGAGGTCAGGTCAGAGAAGGAGGTCAAGAGGGTATGAGGTCAGAGAAGTAGGGTATGAGGTCAGAGAGGAGGTCAAGTAGGTATGAGTCGTCAGAGAGGAGGCAAGGTCAAGAGGTAGGTCAGAGAGGAGGTCAAGTAGGATATAGGTCAGAGAGGAGGTCAAGTAGGTATGAGTCAGAGAGGAGGTCAAGTTAGGGTATGAGGTCAGAGAGGAGGTCATGAGGTAGGTCGGTCATGAGGTCAGGTCAAGTAGGGTATGAGTCTCAGTCAAGAGGTATGAGCGTGAGGTATGGTCAGAGAGGAGGTCAAGTAGGGTATGAGTGAGGTCAAGTAGGTAGAGGTAGAGAGGTCAAGTAGGGTATGAGGTCAGAGAGGAGGTCAAGTAGGGTATGAGGTCAGAGAGGAGGTAAGTCAGTATGAGGTCAGAAGGGGTCAAGTAGGGTATAGGTCAGAGAGGAGGTCAAGTAGGTATGAGTAGAGAGTCAATAGGTATCAGTCAGAGAGGAGGTTCAAGTAGGTATGAGGTCAAAAGGAGGTCAAGTAGGGTAGTAGTCAAGTAGGGAGTGAGAGAGTCAAAGTAAGAGTCAGAAGGCAAGTAGGGTATGAGGTCAGAGAGGAGGTCAAGTAGGTATAGAGGTCAGAGAGGAAGGTCAAGTAGGAGGTCAGAGAGGAGGTCAAGTAGAGGTATGAGGTCAGAGAGGAGGTCAGGATATGAGGTCAGAGAGGAGGTCAAGTAGGGTAAGTGGTCAGTAGGGTAGAGGTCAGGTCAAGTAGGAGGTCAGAGGAGGTCAAGTAGGGTATTGAGTCGTCAGGAGATCAGTCAAAGTAGGGTATGAGGTCAGAGGGAGGTCAATAGGGTATGAGGTCAGAGAGGAGGTCAAGGTATGAGGTCAGAGAGGTTCAAGAGAGGAGGTCAAGTAGGATATGAGGTAGAGAGGAGAGTCCAGGTAGAGAGGAGGTCAATTAGGAATGAGGTCAGAGAGGAGGTCAAGTGTAAGTAGGGTCAATGGAGGTCAGGTAAGGGTGAGAGGGACGTGTCTAGTGGAATTTTTAAGCTATTTTATAGTGTTTATACTCTCTGCTCTCTCTCTCTCTCTCTCTCTCTCTCTCTCTCTCTCTCTCTCTCTCTCTCTCTCTCCCTCTCTCTCTCTCTTTATATCTATCTGTCTATGCATCTACATATATATATATATATATATTATATATATATATATATATATATATATATTATATATATATATATACTATATATATATATATATATATATATGTGTGTGTGTGTGTGTGTGTGTGTGTGTGTGTGTGTGTGTGTGTGTGTGTGTGTGTGTGTGTGTGTATGCGTGTGTGTGTGTGTGCGTCTATCTATCTATATATCTCGCTCTATCTATCAATATATCTACCTTTATAGTTTTTTTTAAAATAAACGTCATCATATCTCTCTCCTTCTAAGAAAAACACATTACAGTATCAGTATATATATATATAAAACACTTGGAAGTAATAACCTTTATCTACACTGATATTAACAACATCCTTACGTCAGTGTTATCATTCTGAAAAAAAAAGATAACTGCAGAAAAAAAATGATAGAACGTTCTCACCAAAGTACCTTATTTTGGAGAAAAAAATATTTTCATAATAGAAAAAAATACACCAACTTGTCCTATTTGTAACATTTGTAAATAAGCAGGTGAATAAATGAATATATGAATTAGTGAATAAATAAGTGAATAGATACATGAATAAATGGGAGAGTAGATAGATAAATAAACATATTATTAAATAGATCACCAAATGTATACGTGGTTAAACAGAAATAAAAAATGTCACTAAACAAACAAACACACAAATAGGCAAACGAATGCATACATACATAAACAAACAAACAAACTAAGAATCACATGAATTGCCAAACGAATAGGTACATAAACAAACAAAAAAACACACAAACAAACGAATAAGTACAAAAACAAACTAACTAACTAACAAACACATGTATAGTCAAACGAATAAGTACATAAAAAAACACACACACACAAACAAACGAATACACAAACAAAAAAGTACACAAACAAGCGAATAACCAAACGAATAAGTACATAACCAAACAAACAAACTAACGAACAGTCAAACGAATAAATCCATAAACAAACAGACAAACAAGCAAACGAATAAACACACACAAACTATTAAATCTACCAAGAAACAAAAAAACGCAAAACGTACAACCCTGCCAGCAAGCAAGGGGTACCGTCATCACCTTATCTTATCAGTATAGTAGATCTTCATCCCCCACTCCACCGCGATGTCTCTCGCATACCGCGCGTTGTCGTAGTGGGTCTGGAAGAGCAGGTAGGTCGACCCCCCGTGATCCTCTCCAAGGGGAAAACCCACGTTGTCAGGCAGCATTTCCCCCTGGGAGAAGGTGGTTTTGAAGTTTTTACTCTTCATTTTGAGGGGAAGGGGGGAGGAAGGATGGGGAGGGGAGGGGGCCAAGGGTGGGGGAAAGTTAGGGTTTTGAAGTTACTTATTTTCTTCATTTGAGGGGAAGGATGGGGAGGGGAGGGGGCCAAGGTGGGGGAAGTTAGGGGTTTTGAAGTTACTTACTTATTTTTCTTCATTTTGAGGGGGAAGTGGGGGAGGAAGGATGGGAGGGGAGGGGGCCAAGGTGGGGGGGAAAGTTAGGGGTTTTTGAAGTTACTTATTTTCTTCATTTTTGAAGGGGAAGGAGGGGGGGGAGGGGGCCAAGGTGGGGGAGAGTTTAGGGTTTTGAAGTTATTATATTTTCTTCATTTTGAGGGGAAGTAAGGAAGGAAGGATGGGGAGGGAGGGGGCCAAGGTGGGGGAAAGTTAGTGGTTTTGAAGTTTTAGGGGAAGGGGTTTTGAAGTTATTTTTCTTCATGAGGGGAAGGATGGGGAGGGGAGGGGGAAGATGGGGAGTTAGGGGTTTTGAAGTTATTTATTAAAGATTTTTTTCTTTTGAGGGAGGGGGGAGAGAGGAGATGGGGAGGGAGGGGCGAATGGGGAAGAGTGGTTTTGAAGTTACTTATTTTCTTCATTGTGAGGGGAAGTGGGGGGGAGGAAGGATGGGGAGGGGAGGGGGCCAAGGTGGGGAGATTAGGGGTTTTGAAGTTATTAAAGTTACTTTTGGATGAATTGATAGATAGATGGATAAATAGATAAATAAAATCAAATTAATAAACAGACAGAAAAAAACATAAACTCACATAAAGACGTGAACACCTGTTGGGAAATTAATAGGTAAAATATTCAGGTTGACAGGCGCAAATAGTTGGAAAAATACATGTATGTATCAGAAACTATGACTAATCATCAACAAACACCTCAAATATACATAGATATTTGGATTCTACGTAAATAGATAGATTGACAGGAAGACAAGCTAACTGACTGACTGACTATTTGACAGAATGACTGGCTGGCTGAGTGACTTATTGACTGACTGGCTAACTGACTGACTAACTGACTGACTGACTAACTGACCGACTGACTGACTGACCGACTGACTGACTGACTGACTGACTAACTGCTGACTAACTGACTAACTAACTGACTAACTAACTGACTTACTAATTGGCTGACTAACTGACTGACTGACTAACTGACTAACTGACTGACTGACTAACTGACTGACTAACTGACTGACTGACTGACTGACTAACTGACTGACTAACTGACTGACTAACTAATTGACTGACTGACTGACTAAGTGACTGACTGACTACTGACTGACTGACTAACTGACTGACTGACTGACTGACTGACTGACTGACTGACTAACTAACTGACAGACTGACTCACTGACTAACTGACAGACTGACTCACTGACTAACTGACAGATTAACTGACTCACAGACTGACTGAATAACTGATAGACTGACTAACTGACTGACTAATTGACTAAGTAACTGACTGACTGACTAACTGACTAATTGACTGACAGACTGACTGACTAATTAACTGACTGACTAATTGATTGACAGACTGACTAACTGACTGACTAACTGACTGATTAAGTAACTGACTGTCTGTTTGACCGAAAAGGTAAAGAATCAAAAAGAGATCGTAAACTGAAAAGGAAAATAAAAGGAAAGGTAAAATCAAATGGACATATGCCAAACGCCACAGGTGTGGAGATACGTGTCACTGTTAGCACAGTTGTTAGTAATATAACTTTACTCTCCCTCTGTCCCTTCTCTCTCTCTCTCGTTTCTCTCTTCTCTCGTCTCTCGTCTCTCGTCTCTCGTCTCTCGTCTCTCGTCTCTCGTCTCTCGTCTCTCGTCTCTCTCTCTCTCTCTCTCTCTCTCTCTCTCTCTCTCTCTCTCTCTCTCTCTCTCTCTCTCTCTCTCTCTCTCTCTCTCTCTCTCTCTCTCTCTCTCTCTCTCTCTCTCTCTCTCCCACACACGCACACACACATACACACCCTCTCCCTGTATCTCACTCTCTCCCACGCCTGTTAAAACACATGATCCGCCACTGAAACCAACAGCAAACAATACAAAGCACTAACAAAACACTTATAAAGACTAACAAAACGCTAACAAAACGCAAACAAAACACAAAAAAACACTAACAAAACGCTAACAAAACACTAACAAAACGCTAACAAGAGGTTAACAAAACACTAACAATACTCTAACAAACGCTAACAAAACACAAACAAAAAAACTAACAAAACACTAACCTCACTTCCGATGGCCCAGTTAATGAGGAACTTTTCGCAGTAGTTGAAATCAGGAGGCATGTTGGGCGTGTAGCACTCATAGCCCTCATGACCGACATATCTCTCTGAGGAGGAGAAACGTGGGTCATCTGTCACTGTTTTATGCATGAGTATATATGGTTTTATCCTAAATATTTATCCTTGAATGTTGAGTGTGAGAGAAATAGCTTATGACAGTGCGTATGTACGTGGCAGGTTTTCGAAAAAGATGTATGTGATAAAGTATCGAAAAGAATTCATGATGACAGTAATTATGGGACTGGTTGTTGAGAAATAGATATGATGTTTTTTTTTTTATTCGTTTTACATAAGTGAAAATTTGTATTTCATCTGAACATATAACTGTGTTATACATGGAATTTATATAGCTTTACTTAATTGATCAAAATGTTAATGTGCTTTCATAAAACCTGCACTGAATCTAAAGAGAGAGAAAGAGAGAGAGAAGAGAGCTAGAGAGGAGAGAGAGAGAGAGAGAGAGAGAGAGAGAGAAGAGGAGAGAGAGAGAGAGAGAGAGAGAGAGAGAGAGAGACAGAGACAGAGGACAGAGACAGAGACAGAGACAGAGACAGAGAAGAGAGAGACAGAGAGACAGAGAAGAGACAGACAAGAAGAAGAGAGAGAGAGAGAGAGAGAGAGAGAGAGAGAGAGAGAGAGAGAGAGAGAGAGAGAGAGAGAGAGAGAGAGAGAGAGAGACAGAGAGAGAGAGAGAGAGAGAGAGAGAGAGAGAGAATCTGTCAAATGGAAAACCAATACTTATATCTGGCAATATTAGGGCATATGAGGATTCCCTCTCGATCATCTTCCTCCCTTACCCTTTCTCTCTCCTTACCTCTTCCTACCTCTTTCCCCTCCTAACCCTCTCCCTCTCCATTCTTTTCACCCTCACCCACCCTCTTCTCCCTCTCTTCCCTCCCTTCCCCTCTCCCTTTACCCCCCACCCTTTCCTCCTCCCCTCCCTTCTCCACACCCCCACCCCCTCCTCCCTCCTCCTCCTCTCCTTCCTCCTCCCTCCTCCTCCTCCTCCTCCCTCCCCCTCCCTCCCTCACCCCACACACCCCACCCTCTCCCCTCCCTCACCCCCACCCTCTCCTCCCTCTCTCCTCACCCCCCACCCTTTCCCCCACCCTCTCCTCCTCCCCTCCCCTGTCCCTCACCCCCCACCTCTCTCCTCCCATCCCCTCTCCCTCACCCCACACACCCCACCCTCTCCTCCTCCTCCTTCCCTCCCCTCTCCCTCACCCCCACACCCCACACCCTTCCCCTCACCCTTAACCCCTTCCTTACCATAGACCTCATGTTGTCTTCGTCCGTCTGGCACATTGCACTCAAAACCTAGCGTGTGGTGGAGGTGAGCTCGTGAGTTTTCACCGTAGATCATGCTGAACTGTCGAGTGAGAGAAAGGAGATGTTAGAATAAGAATAAGAAAAAGAATAAGCATAGGAGGTAATGCTTATTAGGCATAGGAGGTAATGTGAGATTGTATTTCTTCTGGATGTGTTTCTTGGTCTGTTTGTTGTTGTTGTTATCTTTTGTATCATTACTACTTATGTCATTGTCATTATTACTATCATTATCTACTTTATCATTACTAGTATCATTATCATCTTTATCATTACTACTATCATTATCAACTTTATCATTACTACTACTATTGCCATCATTTATCACATTATCATTACATTATCATCATCTTCATCATCACCATTACCATCTTCCTCCTTGCCATCATCACATATCACCATCCCCACTTCATCACCATCATCCCCAACACCATCATCACAACTACTATCATCAATCCCACCATTCTTATCCTCCTCCTCATCATCATCACCCCCTCTCATCACCATCATCTCCATCACTCACCCCAATATAATGGTGCTTCTTCCTCCACTTTGGCACCTTCTCGATGTGGCACCAGTAGAAGGTGTCAACTCCATTGGGCAGTGGCACTCTCTGGCTGATTTCCCACGTCTGTATATCAGGGGTCGGTTCCTTGTGGTGGAAGGGGAGGAGAACCAGGGCGAATCTGGGGGAGAAGGGGGGAGGGGGGGGTTTAATTAGTGTTGTTGATTATTGTTATATGGATTATGTGGTTGTTATGGTATTGGATGTGTGTGTGTGTGGTTAGAGAGAGTATTGATTATATTATTTATTATTACTATTATTATCATTATAAGATTTAGCCATTATCATTATTTTGTTGTCATTATTATTATCATTTTCATAATTATTACCAACGTTGTTGTTGTAGTTGTTGATACTATTGTTATCTTTATTATCACTTTTATCATTATCATTATCATCATTGTCAGTATTATCTTTATAATAATGATGATTATCATTACTATTGCCATCATCATCATTATCACTATCACTATATTCACTACTACTACTAATCATTATCATCATTCTTATGTTTATTAACATTATCAAGATATTATTATTACTATTATTATTATCATTATTTTTAATATCATTATTTTTATCATCATTATTTTCATTGTTATTGTCATTATTTTCATCAATATCCTTACCATTATAATCATTATCATCATCATCGTTATTGATACTAATATCATTATCATCATAATATACCAATTACTATCATTACTATTATTATCATTAGTATGATCACCATTATTATCAATATTACAATTACTATTATTATCATCATAATCATTATTATTATTATCATCATTATTTTTTTACTATCATTATTATTAGTGTTTTGTTATTATCATTAATTACATTGTATCATTATCATTATTATTATTATCATTATCATTATTATTATCATCATTATTATCATTACCATTATCATCGTTATTATCCTCATAATAATCATCATTATAGCTTTCATTGTTATCATTATTAATACAATTGATATTATTATGTTTACCATTATCCTCATTATCCTTATCAATGTTGATGTTGTTGCCGTTTTCATTTCTTGTGTTAATGAATAACGTTGTCATTATCTCTGTTGTCATTATGATTATGATTATTGTCATATCGACATCATTATCCTTACCATTTGCAGTAATATCATCATCATCACCATAAATATTACGAGACTTATCACTATGATCACCACAGCTAACCAGCCCCCACATATCATCATATATCACAACATAACATGCACATTGTCATCATACACAATAGCCTCACCTGTTACCCCTCCGAGGTCCGTGATAATATATGTCACCATCTTCAGGTGGGTCGTCACTGTCATACGCGTATATAAAACGCACAGTCTCGTTCTGACAAAAAAAAAAAAAAAATAGAAAAAAAGAAAAAAGAAATTAATAATAGAAAATGCATGATGTTAAGTTTCTTTATGAGAGTCAAAAGTTTCTATATATTTGTGGGTAATTCTGGGTAAGTCAGCTTCGGGAGAAATAGTGGAAATAGTAAAAAGCGTAAAAAAAGAAAAAAAAAAAAGAAAATCCTAACAAGAGTCCGGCGCCGCTGCAAGATGCGCCGGAGTCAGTGTTGCCGAAACCCGAAGGAAATTCTGAACCTAACCTTAACGACCTAACCAATCCTAACCCAACCCCAGCTAACCTAAAACCAACCCAACATAACCTAACCTAACCTAACCTAACCAACCCAACCTAACCTAACCAACCCAACCTAACTAACCTAACCCAACCTAAACCAACAACCAACTAACCTAACCTAACCCCAACCAAACCTAACCTAACCAACCAACAACGTAAACAACTAAAACAACAACCAACAACCCAACCTAACCTAACCAACCCCCAACCTAAAACCTAACCTAACCCCCTAAACCAAAACAACCCAAACCTAACTAACCTAACCAACCCAACCATAACCTAACCTAACCTAACCTAACCATAACCAACCTAACCAACCACCTACATAACCTAACCAACCCAAACATAACCTAACCAACCAAACCAACATAACCTAACCTAACCTAACCCAACATAACCTAACCAACCTAACAAACCAACCCCAACCAACCTAACCTAACCCTAACCTAACCAACCAACATAACCTAACCAACCCCAACAAAACCTAACCTAACCAACCCAACCCAAACAACCAACATAACATAAACCTAACCCAAAAACCTAACAAACCTAACCCAACCTAACCAACCTAACCCAAACATAACCTAACCTAACCTAACCCAACCCTTAGCCAAACCCAACATAACCAACTAACCTAACCTAACCTAACAACATCCTAACCTAACCTAACCCTAACCTAACCTAACCGTAACCTAACCCAACCATAACCTAAACTAACCCACCCTAACCTAACCAACCTAACCTAACCCAAACCAACCTAACCCAACCTAACCTAACCCAACCCAACCTAAAACTTAACCAACCTAACCTAACCCAACATAAACTAACCACATAAACATAACCATAACCTAACGTAACCTAACCTAACTATGTATGTACACTAGTCAATAATTCTATTATATTTTCCTCGGTATATGTGGTGCGGCTGCCTTCATTAATATTGCCTATTGTGTTAGTAGAAAAATTCCAAATCGATGCCATTTTCGTTAGGATCGGTCTTATGAAGGTATTCTGAATATTTTATTCACTTAGATAGCGACTACCTATCCGGTTTGGTTTTTTAAACATAGTTGACGT